GGTGAAGGGCAGGGATCTCATGAAAATCAAAGGGAGAGCAGTAGAGGAAAGGTATCAAAAGGGGGGCGTGGGGAGGGAGGGGGAAGTGCTGGGGAGGGGTGTGGGCCAAGTTATATTGCTATACTCTGTGCTTGTGTGAATCCCATCATTTTATACAACTAAAAATGCACCAATAAAAAATGTGGAAGCAGAAAAAAAATATGTAGGCCAGGCCACCTTGGCTGGTAAATGGCCTAGAATAATAGCGGCTTAAAGGGAACTGTGATGAACACCCTCATGGAGATACAGAGCTTGCTCGGGAGGAACCCTCTTTAATACCAGGCTTCCTTTTCTACTGTTTCACGCCACCTGCTTGCCAAGGCAGGCCCAGGGAAGTTCCCTGGTGGCTACAGAGTTCCAGGAAAGTAGGAGTGGGGGAGGTAGATACTCAAACAGTCTGCCCAGAGCCAAGTCAGTCTAACTGTGGCCAAGACTTAAGTGTGAAAAGGGGAAGGGTGGGGAGAAGCACCCTTGAGCAACCTCTGCATGCATTCTTAACCCACTTCCTCACTCTGATCCTTGATAAACTCTTTCTAAGCACTGAGAAATCCATAGAACAAAAAATAAAGCAGAACAAAACAAAACAAAAAACCTCTCAACTCTCCAAAAACAATTGACTATTAATTTATTTATTTTGGTACTGGGGATGGAACCCAGGGGCTTAACCACTGAGCCACATATTTTTTTTTTTTTTAAAGAGAGAGTGAGAGAGAGAGGGGGACAGAGAGAGAGAGAGAGACAATTTTAACATTTATTTATTTTTTCTTAGTTCTCGGCGGACACAACATCTTCCTTTGTCTGTGGTGCTGAGGATCGAACCCGGGCCGCACGCACGCCAGGCGAACGCGCTACCGCTTGAGCCACATCCCCAGCCAGAGCCACATATTTTTGATTTTGAGACAGAGCCTTGCTAAATTGCTTAGGCCCTCACTAAATTGCTTAAGGCCTCTCTAAGATGCAGGAGCTGGTCATGAACTTGCAATCCTCCTACCTTAGCCTCCCAAGCTGCTGGGATTACAGGCAGTTATATGATTTTTGTACCCACAAATAAAGTACTTCTGCTAAGTCTCAGGGCCACTATGTATGACTGAATAGGTTGTCCACTACACAAGGGTGCCCAACCAAAGAGAGGCAAGGTAGCTGGCTAATCCCTTTGCCTGCAGGACTGCCCTCACAGAAGGGGAGCCTTTTTTTCTAATATACACAAAGGCACTGTTTAGGCTAGTAGCCACCCTGTAGATTTGAAGTTTTTTGGTTTCTATTTTTTGTAAATGAAAATAATCTCAAGGCAGAAGCACATATTCTCCCCTTAAGAAAACTCATATTGATGATCCAAGATCTGCTCTCTACGGTAAATGCAGATATTCTTTGTGCCATTGAACACTTTTTTTCCCATTGCTTAGGATCACATATTTTGCTGTTATGTGGTGGTGTATGACTTAATCCCAGAGACTTGGGAGGCTGAGGAAGAAGGATCACAAGTTCAAGGACAGTCTCAGCAACTTAGCAAGACCCTATCTCAAAATAAAAAATTAAAAGGGCTCGGGATGTGACTCAGTAGTAGAGCATGCCTGGGTTCAATACATAATGTAAAAAAAAAAAAAAAGGAAAAATTGCGTATTTTCTTTCTTCTAATCTATTTCGGGGGTGATGAGAAGATACAGCTTTTAAGTAAAAACTACAGGACCCATGTTAGGGGTACTTAAAATATGCAGAATATCTGGCTGGGGACATATTCATTGCCTAGTGCAAGGGGGGCCCTGGGTTCAATCCCCAGCACTGAAAGAAATAAAAAAGAAAAAAAAAAACCTCAAAACCCAGAATTTAAAAACACAGATAGCTTAATTTCTTGCTACTAAATGAATTAGTTGCATGTTTTTCTTCTAGACGGATTGTACGTGGAGAGACTGACAAGAGTTTGAATTACACTGGGAAAAATTCATGTAAAGACAATTTCACACAGTGGGGAAAACCAGGCTGCCCAGTTCCGGACTTCGCTGGGAATCCTCCTATGGTATGTACAACTCATTGTTGCTATTAAAGTTTTATTACTGTCAGTCTTTAAACTATGTCTAAGATGTGCACAAATGTCATAGAGTTGTCTGTTACAAATGTCACAGAACTTCTAGGATGTCAAATCTAGTTTTCTCTACTATATTTATTGGCTAGAATTCTTTCTTTTTTTATGGTTATTTTTTTTTATTATTTATTGTTGGTCGTTCAAAACATTACATAGTTCTTAATACATCATATTACACGG